CATGTAATCAAATAAATTATACTACATGTAAACTAAAATATGTAAATAATAAATAAAAACATAACCGTTCCGATACCTGTAATCACCCTCTGTATTTTAAACATTCAGTTTAGCCAAGACTTACTAGAATTTAGTCAGTGAGATATTATTGGCAGGATGAGGGTACATCAATACATCAAATTTATCTGGGAATCAAATCCAGCCTCACACTTCCTAATTTAGCCTAGTAACACATGTGGAGAATTACATTTTATAGAGTCATGCAGTCAATCATCGCAAGTGTACCTCTTAGGATAGAACATCCCATGATACAAGCAACCTCCTGCATCCCCGACTGGATCCTCGCTATCATTGGACATGTGAAACTTTTACTGATAGTTGTGTGACTAATGGTTTTAGCCATCTATACCTTTCTTTCTGCTACCGGAAAGATTCCATGAAACTTCTTTTCCCTTTTGGAGGTATTTCCCAGGCAATACTTGATCAGAAAGTTTATCAATCAGATCATCTATTTTTTCGACCTATGGGATGTAGTCTACCCATAAGGCTCCTTAATCACCGGAACAATTCAAATCGCTTTTTATCACGAGTTACAGAGGCAGTGACACAAAGTCTCTATTTTGGATATGTGAATTGTTCCCCAGCTGGAATTGAACTGTGGGTTATAGGTTAACCCTACTCTGCCTTAGCCTACTGGACTATGACCAGGTAGGTCTAATTATATAAATATATTTGTATTTTTTTGTATTATATTAATAATCAAACAACCTATGGGTCCATAGCTCAGTGGTTAGAGCGCCATAGGTCTGTATCACAAGCTACAGGTTCAATTCTACTAGGGGGCTAATGTGATTCCCTGATTAACAATATGGAAACCTGTATGCCATCGGCCTAACCGTATAATAACCGATGCTTCTAATTATAGAAAAACTGGTCTATAAATAGATTGTGATACGATCGAATGTCCGAAATTGACTAGGATTATCCCCGACACGATCACATTGCCAGAAATGGTAATAAGAAGAGTAGATCCTAAAACCGGTAGAGTGCTTTTGAAGGATTCCTAATGGTTGTGTTGAAGGATACTAATCAAGCATTTGGCTGTGCCGGGTTTTCACAGACTTTACTATCGGGAGGCCTTGGTGGGAGGTGAAAGCCGCAGACCACTCCAAAGGACCGAAAACCAGGGTTCAGGATACTGTAATCGACGGCCTGATAACCAGAATACTCTTAATAAAATTGTTCTGGGAAAAATTAAGACGGATTCGCGCATCTTTCCGAAAACAGAATGGCGTGGTAAACCATTCAGGTTTAGGTAGTAGTTATACATAGCATTAAGTTAGATGATATATAGCTAGTCATATATAGATAAGTTAACTATAAACATATATGTATAATACTTGTTGGGTATATGTGACACTGCCTTAAAAAGTTCAGTAGGGATTAGCTAGCAATATAGACTAGACGTAGTATTTGTATGATGATACTACTGTAATATCTCATGTACTGAAAGCATATATTTCAATAAAAGATATGGACCAACAAGTGCATCAAATGTAATGAGCCTGAAACGATAGATCATGCAATCCAAATGCATCAAGATAAAGCAAGTATATATGAAAGTTTCATCAAAAATACCATACAAGAAATTGCCAAAAGGAAAGAAGAAGATGCAAACGTGACAAACTTAAAAGAAAAAATTAAAAAAGCATTATCAGAGAACACTTTCAACATGATGCTAATTAGGCAGGGAATATTAACAAAAAAAATAACTCAAATTATCGGAAAGCTGACAGGAAAAAACAAAGGAAAGATATGCTGTAGCATTATCTGATCAACAAGGAATAAAGTTATAAATGCATGGAAAAAAAGAAACGAAGAAGTACAGAAATGGGAAGAAAAAGAAGGTATAACGATACAAGATAAAAGAAGTATAGGTACAAGATATACAAGGCAACAAAACACCAAAGACACAACAAAACTAGCTCGAGTCACAGAAATATGGCTTTACAATATGGAAAGACATATCATATACAAAAGTTAGTTCTTTGATAACTATATTACATTAAAATCATTTAAAGACCACCAGTATAGCCTAGGCATGCTGGCTTGAACCTCTGTAGCTAATATCCCAAGGGAATTAGAGACAAGTTCTAGCGGCAAGCCACTATCTCATAGGTAGATTTCACTATACATGTAATAGTTTATTTAGATTACAAATTTTGTAAACAAAAAATAAATAAATAAAGTAAAGTGAATTTGGCCTCGCTGAGGGAAAGAAAAAAAAAAAAAGAAAAAAAAAGAAAAAATAATCAAACAAGTGTTTTTTGATATTTATGTGATTAGGTATTGTTTTCACATGATAGAAATTTCAGTTGTATGATTTGAGTTATAAATCTATTCAATTAACTTTTCCTTCTATAGAAAATTGTGAAATATAAAGTATAACAAATTAGATTATATAATACATGCTATATTACTAAATGATTGGATGGTCATTATATATATATTATTTGGATTGATACATAGCAAAACCATGCTTAGAAACAAAATTCCTATTTGGAAATATCAATAATTAATCATTTTGATGCAAATTTGATATTTGTAATAAAATTAAAATATTGCATATACTACCCTTTATCAAAAATTTATTAATTATAATATAAAAGATGAACAAAAGTTTATAGACAACTTTTTTTTTTTTTAAATAAAATTTAATTTAAAAACTAATTAAATTTTTTTAATAAAAATATATTCAATTTATAATAATGTATTATTATATAAAAAAATTTTTTTTTTTATTTACTTAAAAATTTCATTTCAATTTTCATATAACTGCTAATACCTGCTAATAAAAAATTAACTTTTGAATAAAAAGCAATCATAATTTATGGTTACAAAAAAAAAGATACTTATTGTAATATTGCAGCTAATGTTGGATGCAAAAAAAGTATGGTGGATAATATTATAAAGTGTTTTATTGAAACTGGATCCACAGAATCAGGAATGTGATGATCGGAATGACCATGACTCCTCAATAAATATGCTTATACCACCCTTAAAAAACTTGTTACTGGCAAAAAGGATAGCAGACATGTTACTGCTACAAAATTAATCAATCTTTTTATAGCCAAAATAGAAATCAAAGTATCTAAAAAAACTATCCATCGAACCCTATATGAAGAACAGTTAAGAAGCTGTATTACCCATTCCAAGCCCTTTCTTTCAGAAAAAAATATTGAAGACTGACTTACCTGATGCCTTGCATGTAAAGACTGAACCGTTTGGGACTTTAAAAAAGTAGTCTAGAGCAATAAGTTTATATTTACTTAATTTCAGCAAGGAAGTAAATATTGTGTTTGGCATAATTCACACGAAGAATGAAATATTGAATACCTTTTTGTCACCATTAATTATAGCTCAAGCCATATATATTGGGAATGTTTTTTATAGTTCAGTGTTGGCCCTCTTGTTCCTCTTTATATCTTGGTTAAAGGTAAAATAAAATTAGTTTATTAGATAAAAAAAAAATTTTTTTTAATTTAAAAAAAAAAAATTAAACTTACTTCTTATCTTTTTTCCCTTATAACAAAGTCATTTATCACAACTTTTTAAGATTATCTTTTGCCAGCCTTTTGAAATTTTAATAGAACTAATTGAAATCATAGTGGCCACCTCTGGTTTCAACATAATAATGCAAGGCTACATACCACAAAAATTACGAAGAAGTTTCTTGCTAATAAAAATATTTAGATTATAAACTGGCCTTTTCGAAGTTTAGATCTTAATTCGATCGAAAACCTCTGGCATTATATTAAAGTTTGGGTTCACAAGACCAAACTTAATAATTTAATGGAGCTCAAAGATTGTGTTTTAAAATGTTGAAATGAGATCGATCCAGTATACTGCAAAAAATTGATCAAGAATATACCATGTCATATTATGGCTTGTATCATGGCTAAAGAGATGGCTACAAAATATTAAAAAAAATATAATTAGCTATATAGATATCTATAAATTAATAGAATATAAATTAATAATAAAAAAATATATAATTAAATAAAATATATATATATATATATATTTTTATATATTATAGCCATTAAATAAGAAATTTAAAAATTTTTTTATTTAAAAGTTTAGTTTTTAAAGATTTTAAATATATTTTTTATTTATTTAATTTTCTATTAATTTAATTTAATTTTTAATTTTTAAAGTTGTCCATAAACTTTTGTCCACCCTCTGTATTTTTATATAATAATACAATTAAAATTTTTGTTTTATATATAAATTTTTTTTATTTTAAAAATATACTTGTATAATTTTTATAATCCTTAATAAAGGAATCATTTATTTTATGAAATTTCGAATAAAAAATTTTTTTATAACAGCTTTGTTAATTAAAGTGTAAAATAATCTTAGATTCAATTAATCACAAAATAATAAATATTTTTAAATTATAGCAAACACTTCAGCATCCGCAGGCATTAAGTAGAACAAAAACTTTACTCGAAAGCAAGCCAAATCAAAAAATCAGAATCGACTCTCATTATTTTATTAAATATATATTATATGCGTTTCTATTCACGTTTCGGTGCAGATTTCCTCGTCTCGTACAATTAATTGTGTTCGAACACATTTAACATGTATATTCAAAGATTAACTACAATTCTGACATGAAAGGAAATAATATTAATTGCTATCAGCTAAAACAAGCACTTCACCAAATAAGTAATTCCGTCGCTAGGGTATCCAAACATTACGAAAGATCTTACTAAATTCATCTAAAAATCTAACGATCCTATTAAATATCTTCCAAAAAGATTATTTTTAGGATCTTGAGTTGAAATAAAAACCACTCCCGCGAATATGAAAGGGATAGTTATTCTCTTAGGAACCTTCAAGCCAATTAATAAAAGAAAAGATCTTTTCAGTAACATATTTTCTTGCCCCCAATACATATTTAAGAGCTTCTGCAATGGCGGCATCGACTTCGGTTTCGCTCAAAAAACACCCGGTCTGACGGTATCTTTCCCCTCTGGAACTTTCAGAATTTCTGTAATAAATATCAACCACTAATCCAAATACTCCCAAAAAGAGCATAAAAGGAATGGTATAAAAATAGCTGGCTGCAAAAAGAGCGAAACAGGCCTTCTTAAAATTACCACCAAGAAGTTTGTCTAAATCGATCAAAGACGGGAAGTATCTTGTGGCAATTAAATTAAATCCCACGGTAAATTCGTCTCCTAGAATCTTTTTCTTTATGAAGTTCAAAACCTCTGATAGAAAAATTTTTGATCCGACAGCTCCCATTTTGCAAATGAGTTTTACAAAACAAAAAAATTTTTTGTACTTAAATAAATGATAACTACGTAATTCCCACAGAAATACTGTAATGATGACAAGAATCATCTATTAACTTTTCAAACTCCGATAGATATTAACGACATCTTTTTGCCAAGAGATTAAATGAAGTGGCCCACAGATGACCCATTGTCTCATTTATGGTCAAACAATACCAATACTAATAATAATAATTCCGAAGTGATTTCATCAAAAAGCGAAACCAAGCTGAAAACAAGTCAAAAAAAAAGTCAAAGCAGCAAAAGAATTAAGCGAAACCAAAGAATAATCCTGATTCTATTTTAAAAAGGCAAATACCATTGTCCTGCAGAAGTAAAAAACTCGGTTTACCTTCAAATCTGCAAAGCTTTATACTGTAGTGGAAATAAAACATTCAATCAACTTAGGATCAGATATTACAGTAGGATAAAAATAAAGGCGATTGAACGCGATGAAACCATATATCAATAGCGATAAAACGAGACAAAAAAAAATGAAACAGCGTTAAGGAATTATATTGTGGTGACATTATTAGTATTTGATGATGAATTCTGTCGAAATAATGATAAAATTCTTACCTTTTCTTTTTCTTTTCTTTTCTTTTCTATTTGATTCAATGGAAAAAAAAATTGCGACTAATAAAGTTTGGTTAGCAACAGACTCTCCGTAACAATATATTGTTATAGGAAAAGGGATAATTTCTCACGCGATGCTATGCTGAGTATTGTGATGGGAGTAAGAGAATAATTAAAACATATATAAATATGCTTAGCTTTCGTAATAATAAAGACAGCAAAAGTATTCTCATCTGACGAATAAACTTTACCTATGGGATAAATTCCTGTGTTCCAATGTTATATTTTCGTTTCACCCGTAATCACGTGACCTATCGCCTACAAAACAAGGAGTAAGACAAGGAGAAAATAGAGTTAATGTCGACACGAACTCTATAACTAAGTAGTGCAAAGTGGACCTACTTTCCTGCTGTGTGACGTGCCGCGACCAGACTTGTGTGCAAGCGACAGACTCGCCGTTTCCCACCGTTACATCACGATCATCAACATACAATAGAAAATAGAAATTATCGGATCAAGTTCCACCAATAAACTCTTACACGAACATACACAAAGACTCAAGTCGTTACATTAGATCATATGGGTAAATATAAATTGTAATTTGAAATTTTTATAGTAAAATCTTATATCTTTCCCAATTTTTAAAATTATTAAAATTTATTTTTTGATTTTTGATTTTGACAAAAATTTTGTTTGTCATTTTTTTACAATTATTTTTAATTGCAAATCAATTGTTTCTATTAAAAATAATTGTATTTCGTTAAAAAAAGGGGGGGTTAATAATAAATCAATAAATCAATCAACATAGTTATATATAATATATTAATTCTACATACAAATTATATATCATCAATATATCCAGCAAATATAAACTGATCTCAGTTACATACCAGATAAATACATTTTAACTCATATAAAATTCTTACTAGGTTTAATTTTAACATAGATTATTTTATTAATTTATTCAATTAACAGTTATACTAAAATTCATAAAAATAATAATTTATACAAAAATTTGATAATAACAATAATATGTTCAATAGATGAAAACAATAAAAATAAAATATTTTGGTAAACAAATAACCAAACAGACAAACAATAATTATTGATTTATTTGATGATATCAATTATTAAAAATTGTATAAAAATGTTTTTATACATTTTTATTTTTATAATTCAAAATAATTATTTAAACATAACACATTTTTCTATAATAAACACGTTATTTTATTTGTTTTTTTTTTTAAAAAATAAATTTTAGGATATATGGTATAAACAGAAAAGTGGGTTTTTTCCTTCAAATTATGAGATTATAAAATGTTTTAAAGAATTTTTATCATGTAATAAATAGTGATGGTTATAATAATAATCTGATGTTATATTATTGTACTTATTAATATTAATGCATTATATTTATAACTATATTTATTTTATAAAGTTTACCTTTGGATCATATCCTATATAATGCATTTGAGTAATTCTACAGTAATTTGTAAATACTGTACTTAAATTAGCTTCATATAAACAATATTGGGTATCATAATGTCATATCTGACATGTTAAACGTGTTATATGTACTCCTTTGAAAGAAAGAAAATAACATTGATGCAAAAATTAATAATTGTAGGTTTACTTGATATCAAAGCAAATATCGTAGATAGAAATGAATTTCAGTTTTGTCTAAAAATCATCATAAAAGCGTGAGTGTAAGTATTACTATCTTTCTAATGCAAAGTCTACATTAGAAGACGAGTTTTACGATTATGATAAAAACCAAAACTAGGTTTTGCGTAGTAGCAGAAAAATCATCGTGCCACATGACAGAATCCGTAAAGTCGACATTAAGATCATCTGAAATTGGTACTTATACAGAACCTAGCGTATATTATTAAAATTGTTGATCTAAGTAATTCTTTCAAACATCTTTCTATGGCGAATTGCGTGAATACAATTATCATCAGAACAATGGAAGAATTCGATGCAATACTTGATCATTTGATAAGTGACTTTAGGCAATTGAATCTCCTTTCTAGTCTTTCTTGAAATTTAGGTTTCTCATTTTTTCTATAGATCATTGGAATCGAACCCTGTGTGCGGGGCATTGCGCTGTACTATTTAGATCATAATCACAAGAAATAACATCTGACATTACAATCTATCCAAAAATGTAGTGTGTGTATTCTATTCAGCATTCTGGTCACAATAAACCTTCACTTGGCATGGTAATTTATTGGCAGGATCATTAACGATAAAGGTTACGATAAGCCGTGGATTTATCATTTTGAGACGTGGTTACCAAGCTAAACAATAGCAAACGGAAAAAATTCACAACAAATAAACATTATTTTTGCAAAATGGAATACAGTAAAATTTATGCGCAATGAAAATATACAGTACAGTATTACAGTACACTTCAATCCCTTTGCAAATTTCATTTAGGTACACGTAGCATTCGTACGCAAATCTAAATATAGTACTGTTTGTCGTACCGTACTTCGTGTCACAAAATAATTTTCCAAGGTACTGTGACAATATAAATTTATTTCCTTCGTTCGTTCAATAGTTTCATCATTTTGCTGCTTCTAATATGAAGGATCCGATTTATCCTAAATTATCATTTGACTGTCTTAATGAAATCTTTAAACATCTTAAAAATGAACGTGTGACATTATATTCCTGCCTTTTTGCAAACAGCGGTTTATGCAAGATTTCAGTGTCTTTATTGTGGTTTCATCCTTTTGAATACCTCCTTAAGGACAACCAATATCATGCTCTGATTAGAACGTTATATTGTTGCTTGAGCGAAAGTGATAAGCAAGAAGCTCACTCTAAGGGAATTTCACTTCCCTCAAATTTAATTACTCCGTTATTTGATTACGCTAGGTTTATTAGGGGACTGGACACAAAAAATTTTCATCTTGCTCAAATGGCTTGGAAACGTCGAAGCAACTCTACCATGACCATGGACCAAATAAATTATGTTATTGGAAACCTGATTTTACAGCGCTCCGATAGCTTGAGAATTCTTGTAATCGATCACAAACTTGGTTTTTCTATGAATGAACGTCACTGTACTCCGTATATTTTTTTCTTCAGAGTCAAGAACGCTTTTTCAAACATTCAAGAATTAACAATTCGATTCCATAGAGAATCCACTTTAGTTAGCACGTCTGCATATACTATACGTAACTTGTCAAGCCTTATCAATATAATCTCTTCTCAGGCACAGAGTATTAAAAAGCTAAGTGCATACATGGACTTTTGTTTTATCAAGGAATCGTCGTTAACGGAATTTAACGACAATCTATTAGGTTTAATAAGCAAACAAAGGAATCTCATTCATCTAAGTTTACTTGGGGAGCATTGTTTTGCATTTTTCTGCTTGATGACTAAACGCACCTCAATTCAACCAAATGTCTTTAAACATTTATCAATTTCAAACATCGAAGACACTCGAACTTTCTTACATGGTCTAAGTACTTGTCAGAACCTGGAAACATTAGATATTCATGACAAACTTCCCTCCGAGATCCCTTATTCTTCGATGGTTTCGGAGAATTTTCCTTCGATTCACATCAAGCACCTGAACTTATTCCTTGCCTTTAACTTTAAGACATTAACAAAGATGCTTCTCAGGCTATCAGGCCATCGATTAATTTCAATTAGACTAAGATATACAAATTCGGAAATAATTGATTATATACGAGATTATTCGAACCAATTAAAATTTTTATCTATAGGATTCTCCTCTGATGAAGCTATCTCAATTTCCAATATGCTCCCAAAGTTAAGATCGCTTGATCATTTGGATTTGGTGTATTTTAATTTTCCTCGAGAAATTAGAGACAGCAGTATCGAAGGAATGGAAAAAAGTGGTCTGGAAATTTTGGCCAATTCATTTCCTTCTAATTTGAACATTCTGGGATTAGACATGATTTTTCCGACAAATAAGATGATCTTGGATACCATTCTTGAAAATGTGCAAATTCCCCTCAAAAAATTGAACATATACAACACGATGACTGTTGAAATTTCTCACACCATTATTAATTATGTTGAAAGGATCGGTGGATTAAAAAAATTAGGAATAAATGATAAGAAATTCAAAGAAAAATGGGGAGGCCATCGGTTAATCGAGTCTGTTAGCGAAGCTGATCACATCATTCATTTTTTATGAGAGGAATTACTCTTTTACAGCTGGCAAGGAAATTATATTCTATTTGTTGCTTATAGTTATACCAAATCATGTGAAAAAATGTGTTTTCATGAAGTACATTGTGTATATTTCTTATTTAATAAAAAAATTTATTAACATGAAGGCATCAGATGGAGGACGTTGACCTTCAAAAATCCATAATTCCAAAAGATTGGATTTTACGAGGTGAAAAAAAGGACATGATGTTGAAGCTTAAAATGTTTACCAACATACACGGGATAAAAAAATTGCAAATAATTATGTTAGTAGAATAATAAGCATCTGCATTGTGTAACACTACGTTGAATTGTATTTTTGTGCACATTGTAAATACAGTAAATTGTAAAATTGTAAAAAACAAATATTTTTAATAATTATTGTTTCTCCTAAAAACATATTTAAATTACAATAGAATAATTACACGAATTCTATTTGACTTTAACCTTATATTAATTAAAACATTAAAATCCTTCAACAAATAAATTATAATTTATATATTAAAAATTATCACAGTAAAAGATTTTTATAAATGCTGATTATGATTAGTTAAATTAAAAATACATTTTTTAATATGTAACATAATTGATGGCAATGTCAAATGCATTTTTAGGTAATTGATTAATTATTAGTCTACAATAACAAACTTAATTTACTATTTCAATACTACATTTAGAAGTTAAATTAATCATTCAATAATTAAAATCTATTTTATTATTAAACAAATCTGTTTTTTTTTAAAAAATAAATATTATTAAAATTTTTTACTTATATATTATACTATAAATAAATAAAAAATCAAATCCTGGTTTTATAAAATTATGTATATTGCATAGGAATAATAAACAAATTATCAAGTTATATATTAAAATTATTTTACTAAATTTATGCACTATCATTTAATATAAATTTCTTATAAAAATAAATTTCAATAATAAATTAATTTGCATATATATATTATATAAAAATAAAAAATAATTAAGTATTAAAATAATATTATAGAATCAATTATATTATATAAATAAAAATACAATATTGAAAATTAAAAATAGAATAGAATAAAAGGTTTTTCAATTAAATATTAAATTATTTTATATATACTAATTTATTTTATATTAGATTCAAATGTTTTTTCAATCAAATATAAATAATAATTTGTAACAATTTGGGTACTGATCTACCACGTGACACTGGATACATGCCATGATCGCCGAACTGCCGATCACTTAAAGC